CTTAGATATTTAAAGGCTGTACATGAACAATGAGAAATTCGCAGATCACTTACCATTGGCATGTAAGTAGCTTGAATGCTACCACTAGCATTCTATCTCGTGTTTTCAGTTTGTTTCGGCGCTTTTTACCACGAATATTGAAAATGTATATCCGTCAATTGCTTCTGACGAGAATTCATAAAGAGAGGCTTCGTTCTTACTTTTGTGAGACGATTTATTCTAAAATATAGATTAACAAAGTAAAGCAATAATTTTCTTTTTCATCGATAGTTCTATATTTAAAACTGCTGATATTAAAAACTTGGCTTACGAAAGAACCGTTCCAAGTGATTCATCCCGATTTAACCAAAACATACTTCCTCATGGGTTATTTTTGATAGTGATTACGACTCTGATATTCATTTCGGCCCATATGACTTTCTAGTACAGATCCCCAGCAATTAGGTCTCTGGAGATTCAACCGGGATAGCTGGACGAAGAGATTCGGATATAACCAGTTTGTAGAACAAGTCAAGTTACACAGGTACACAAGTTTCCGGACATACCGAACAAGTTCTCTCAGACATATAAAATTTTTACTGTAAGAAAACTACCATGTCTATTATTTCTACGAGCGATGAAGGTAAAAATTTCGCATCTCCGAGAGAACTTGTTTGCAATGTCTGGAAACTTGTGTACCTGTGTAACTTGACTTGTTCCACAAACTGGCCATATTCGAATCTCTTCGTTCAACTATCCGGGTTGGATCTCCAGAGACCAACTTAACATTTAAAAAACAAACATTTTCATTTTCTGATAAGAATGTCTGCTTGAATGTCTGCTGTGCACACATCAGGGTTTCACTGTAGGCAACACCTTAAAACTGACAAATTTTGCTGATCCCGTTGACATCTGTGTAAATTTCTTCCGGTTTGTGTTTGATGTGTTACTTACGCTCCTCACGGTTTTTTACATAATAGACGCTTTTACATAATTTAAGACGAAACTGTAAGAAAAAACTCTGTAGGGAAAAGATTGTAAATAGGAAGATGTTTGAACTACATGAATGATAAGAGATTTACGCATTAGTTTATGACCGTTTTGACACAGGACCAGCCATTATCGCTATGTCTCTGTCTTGTAAAACTGGTCGAGTTAAGTATAATTTCAGATTTCTCTTATCTTGGAAAAACACACAAATTATCAAATAACAGTAGTTAAACATTTACTTGAAATTTGGCTCTAAAATTAGTATTACCTAATAGATTGCATATCCTTAGCTGCTCTTTCCCGTTATTTACAATATATTTTCATTAATTGTACTTTTAACTAGGAAAAAATAAATAATATTTAGACATTTAGCATTTAGCATTGTTTATACATTTGCCTGTACCTCGACTATCTTGAAATAAAAAGATATCTAAACAAAATCCTTCTATGTTAATTGCATAAGTAAGTTAGCATAAAAAAACATAATATGATGAACCTTTTTAAAATTTTCTTTCGTTTGAGTTCTTGCAATGAAAAGCATTTCAGTTATCTGCTGATATTGTTGTTATAAGCTATTTAACCCTTTCGGGACGGGTGGTACACCATATATACCACAGTCTTTCGTTCTGTTGTGACGTGTCGAAGCATATATGTTTTCTTGCCTTTTTCTATAGAACATACATATTTTTCAGTTTTTACTCTTTCCTCTTCTTATGGTATCTTCTGGTAAATTCTTTCCTTTTCACACTTTTATATATTCAGCGGTTGAAATGAATGAGAGATACATTAGAAGAATCGCCGAAATCACAACCTAGTTCATTTCGTCACAAGTCGTCCTTCTGCAGAAAAACCACTTCGATTGACGCCTCGTCATTTTCCAGCACCAACTGGTGGAGCAAAACAAAGGTGTATTGTATACAGCTCAACTGTCAAGCGACCAAAAAAACAATCTCGTACCCGATACGAATGTTTAGACTGCAATGTAGGTTTGTGCATCCCTAATTGTTTTCGCGACTATCACACTCTAAAGTCATATTAATAAACTGGACTGAAAACTAGAATCAATTGATTCTTAAGAACTAATTTTTGTACCTTTTTTCAAAAAAAACTTCCCCGTCCTGAAAGGGTTAATAAAAAGAAGAAATTCATTTACTTGTGTCTTAAAACTTGTGTATTGAAAGCGAGAACAAGTTCCCATCATTATTGATGGTGTCGCCGTCAATTCAAAAAGATAAAACAGCTGATTGAATAAGAAAATAAAACAAATGTGTAGTCGAATGGAAGAAAGAGAAAGAAAAACAAAAGTGCTACAGATAATAAAGAGAACGTACACACGCACTATTTTAAATAGAACGAAAGATCTAGTGGTCAGCGGACTGATCGCATGGACTTTCTTGATTTTGTTTTCCAATACACTTTTCTTCACTTTGATTAACCACTGTAAGAAAAAACCAGACCAGTGGACGTTGCGAGATAAAACTATTAGTTTATTACTATTAGATCCGAAATCAACTAATAGAAAATTCCACCAAAGGAAATTTGGATTCCTTACAGTAGCACAGATCGGGCAACAACAAGATATGGTGTCAGGGATGATACAAGCGGCTGCATGAAAACAGATTAAGGGCGACGAAATGCACTTTCAAGACAAATCGAAGGCTTTTTCCTCGAAAATTTATTTTATATTCTTGTATTTTTGGCACTTAAATCTTCTCATTTAGTCCATTGGCCGATCCTTTCGCCTTCTAATGCATTGGTGTGTAACCCTTGCAAAATCCATATTTTCCTATCCTATGCGGGGCGGGCCACTGACCATAGGGCAAAAAGACAAATAAAGACACTCAAAAGAGACAATAGCAAAAACGAAAAAGAAACAGAGACACACTAATCTTCTTCAAATGTTACAATAATACTTCGTGAAACTTTATGACGATCATATACTTTTATCATTTCAGTTGTATTATTATGCAAACGACGATTACGAGGATAATATTTTAAATTTGATGGTTCAGTTTTATGATTATGATTTAATGTTAATGTTGTAATTTTTAAAACTGCACACGTGTTATATAATCGAATTTTAACTGGACAATTTGAAGCCATGTGATGTTGTTGAGATCTTATGCCTTCGCTGCGTATACGTTATTTACCACCATGGCAGCAATGAAATACAACTGCTTCATAAACTAATGGAAAATATTTTAACTTAGTAGAAGTTCGACGGAATATTACTCCGATAACCGACGAATATTCATTCAATTTATTCTTAAATTCATCAAACATATGAAATATATCACTAACATTAAACGTGGAATTATTTGTAGTACTAGCAGGATCCCCATTCTTAAAATAGATATTTACATGAAAAATGAAAAAAAAGAATCGAGAGAAAGATATATTTTAAAAACTAATAAGTTGAGTATGTTGGGTATTAAAACAACCTTCACACATTACCAATAAAAATCTGCATATCAAACTGCATATCGAATTGTCTCCACGGGAAGATCTGTCTGAAACTACCAGATACTGACTCCTAAGTACAGTCTTTCTAAGACGAGAAGTTGCGCAAAAAGCTGTGTCTCTACATCAAGTTCAAGTCATCATCCAAAAGACCAGCTTCGGTATTTTCAACTGGAAGATTATCTGAACTTGAAGATTATTATTCATTTTCTAGCGAAGGATTTCGTTTGACTTTCTTTTCTTTTCTCAGAATTTAAAACCAGCACAATCGCTATAAATTATACAATAACATTTATTTACCATATCATGTTATTTAGATGAATTATACAACGGATATTCCTCTGCTATATTTACATCTAGATATTGTATACATTTATCCAAAATAGTGGAAGAAAATAATAAAGAATAATATAAAATAATAAAGCTTTAAAGTACAGAAATCAGATTGTCCATATAAAAAAATGGCTATCACAAAATAATGGTTAACCCTTGATGCTATTTATGCGAGAAAGTCATTACAAGTCGCACCGTTATGGTGGCGCCATCTACAACTATTTCAATATTAATCAAAATTTTGTGATAACCATTTTGTTTATATGGGCAATCGGATTTCTATACTTTGAAGGTTTAATTCTGTCCTTCTCACGAGGCCATTCTGGCCATATGAAATGACTACTAAAATATGCTAATATTATTCAATAATGAATTTTATTACTGGATGTTGATAATAATGGCAAATATGTTTCAATTATATTATTTAATTGAGCATTACTTTCATTAACAGTATTAATATATTCTTCATCTAGCACTATAATTGGACTTTTTAACATGTTTGTTGTTGCAAAAATATGACATGATTGTAAACATTTACATCTACCATCATCAGCAACTTCCGTTTCTTCAACAATCTGTTTCCACTTTTGAAAGGATACCTACAAAATACTTAAACATTTTAGTGTGAGAACAGAAGAGGAGGATAGCAGAAAAACTTTTGAGTTTTTGAACTCATAGTGAATACAAATCTTAGAGCAGCAGAAGCAGAATTTAGATTTGATGCATTTAGCAATCTTTATTATCAATGCATATAAAACTTGGGTTTGGAATAGAAATTTTTTCACTTTCATATCACTTTCATATCACTAACATTAAACGTGGAATTATTTGTAGTACTAGCAGGATCCCCATTCTTAAAATAGATATTTACATGAAAAATGAAAAAAAAAGAATCGAGAGAAAGATATATTTTAAAAACTAATAAGTTGAGTATGTTGGGTATTAAAACAACCTTCACAC